ACAGCATGAAATGAAACATCTGAAGCATGGCAAGATGTTCATTTACTTTTGGCAATTTTGTTACACTATTTCTTTTTCTATCACAACTGCTGTATCTAATACAATTCCAGTGTTCTTGTTCCACTAATTGCTGAACTTTTACTACCCTGAGCAAATTATTTTTATAATGATTAGGCCAGCAAGATTTCATTCTTAGGACATCACAAATAGTTGCTAACCTCAGCAAGAAGACAGTAGACAGAAGACAAGGACTATTTTCCATAAAAGAACAGAGGCCACAGCAAATTTTTGAGTCCATTAAAGTTGGTTGGGGTAAGAGAATGAGCAGCACAGACATATGGAACATGAAAAGCTCTCAGGAATAGGGAAGCTGGGTGGAGTTTAAAGTTTTGTGATTCCTAAAATAGCCTTCTCCCAAATGCTGCCATTCTGATGTACTGAGGACCAATATTTCTAGAGGAAAACACACACTGGGGAAGTCTGTTCCTAACCTAATTTGAATTCCAAGTGAATGAACCTGATGAATGCAGAGAAGAGCAACAAGAATGATTAGGGGGCTGGAGGCTAAAACATACAAAGAACGGTACCAGGAATTGGGTATGTCTAGTCTAATGAAAAGAAGAATAGGGGAGACATGATAGCAGTGTTTCAATATCTCAGGGGTGGCCATAAAGAAGAGGGAGTCAAGTTATTCTCCAAAGCACCTGAAGGCAGGACAAGAAGCAACGGATGGAAACGAACCAAGGAAAGAAGCAACCTAGAACTAAGAAGAAAATTCCTAATGGTGTGAGCAATCAACCAATGGAATAGCTTGCCATCAGAAGTTGTGGGTGCTCCATCACTGGAGGCTTTCAACCCCCCCCCCCCCCAAAAAAAAACCTGGACAACCATTTGTCTGAAATAGTGAGGGTCTCCTGCTCAAGCAGAGGGTTGGACCAAAAGACCTCCAAGGTCCCTTCCAATTCTATTATGCAATGTTTTATATTCTATAAAAGTAATTGCAAGTGCCCCTTAGCCAAATAAAAAAAAATGTGGGTGATAGTTCTGAAAAGAAGTATTGGCCCATTTTTGTCCCCCCTTCTCTGGTATGTTTTTTTACAAGACTCCGAGAACAGTCATCTTTACCTCAATCTACTCACAGATAGCTATTTACCCTTCTACTTGTCACCTTTTCAATGTGTTCGTAGTTAAGAAGACATTTCAATCCTCACTGGCATAGTCCTATATAAAATATGGATTTGGTCCCTTCTTGTCTTTCAGTCAGGCAGAGAATTTAGCAAATTCATTTCCATTTTCCTAGCACTGTGTTTCCTCTCTGTCTTTCAAAGCTGAAAGACAGCAATTGCATCATGGCTAAATACTCTCACAAATTAGAGGCGCCAGAGAAAAAGAGTATAGCTAGAAAATGCCAAATAGACAACAGCTTCTCAGTTTAAAAGAACCTGAGAAGACACAGCAACCGTAGTAGGGTATAAAAAACATTCTCAGGAAAGTTCATGACTTGCAGGATATTATTTGAGTGTACTGTACCAAGTCCAGATCAAACATTCCATATTCTAAAGTTCTTTCCTGATTTTAGGATAAAATAGCTTTTCGTTTCATGGTGTCTCTCAGTGTTTTAATGTTCCTCAATAGTCTTATCATTATGTTTTCTTAATTCCTTCAACTATTGAAACTTTAACTAATTAGGTTTCAATTCTGATACCATTGGCTAGATTATCCATAGGTTTCAATGAAGTGGCTCCAAATATTCTGCCCCTAAACCAGGAGTTCCCATATAGAAATATGCCTAACACTAATACCTAATACCTTCAAATAGATTGCTTCTGTGCACTTGTAAAGCAGATTTGGCCAACAAAGTCTTGCAATAGCAAACTTCAAGTCCCCAACTCTATGTGTAAATTTTAATGTCTAAACTGTTTATTATTTAGCTCACAAAATAGACTCTGTCAGCAAAACTACTCTCAGTAACCCTGAGCAATTAGAATACTTGATTGCAATTCCAAAGCCACTAAAAATTTCAGTGAAGAGACTGTCAAAGGAGAGTTTTTTTTATCAAGGATTCTGCATAAAACACTCTGCATCTATGTCAGTTATATTACCCACCACTACTTCATACAAGTAAAAGACTTTATTCTCTCCAGTTCAAATTATACTCTTTCCCCCAAGAATAAAAGCACCTAGTCACTCAAATAGTGTGCCATTAGTGAAAAAGCCAAATTTCTACATAAACTCAACCTTTTATTGAACACAGGTTCTGCTTATATTTGTTCAGAACCAATATAAAATACATAATGATAACTATGCTAGAAGGCATCGATGTGGTAGCCCTGTAAAAACCAAGTGCCCTGAGTGTAAGCCAATTCCAGACCAGGATTACTGTAGGCAGTAGGTAGAAGCTTCCATGAAAAAAATCTTCAAAAATCTTTGTAAATAAAAACAACCACAGAGGAAAATTCTCAAGCTAGTTTCCTACCTGATAGACTAAGTAGATAAAGGGATTGTTTTTCCTATGCATGGATCATTCAATCATAAAGTATTATGTTTCATTATATATATCTTTTAGGGAAATTTGAAGACAGTTAACTATAAAGAGGCTGAGTTTTAATCAAACTCATATTTATTATAAGGCAATACAGAAGGTAGAACATTCATTAAAGTGTCTAAACCAATTGTCACCTTCTTTATCCAAGATGGGAGCATCTAGTAAATTTCTCTCAAATAAATCTTGCTCCGGTGAGGGCATCTCTATGAAGCCTTAGACCAGGGGTGGGGAACGATGGCCCCTTTATGACTTGTGGACTTCAACTGCTAGCTTAGGAATTCTGGGAGTTGAAATCCACAAGTCATAAAAGGGCCATCGTTCCCCATCTCTGCCCTAGACTAAGAGCTTGTTTGAGAAGATAACAATTCTGAAGAACTGTAGCAGAGGCAGCTGGAAAGTGCTGCGTATGGATTATTCTTTTAATTTAGAAAAATGGAAATTTGGGATAGAATAAAACTTTAAAAAAAGCTGTTCTAAATCTTTTAAAAGACTAAGTTTCACCAGGAAAACAAAAATTTGCTGACATTAATGTTTCAGTTAATCAGTTGCCAGCATTTCAAATACTCTTTCTTTATGTACCTATCCCTTTTTAATAAATCCCAAATTGATTCTTTCTCTCCAATCGGGCAATCTGAATTATAATCCTAATTATATTGTCAAGACAGATGAATGCTCCAAGAAAGGTTAAAGGAGGAATTGTTATTTAATGTCATGGTGCTGATCTGGTGACCTCTCTCTTTAGTTTCTGCTTGAGACAGACCATTTATCAGGGGTAAAAAAAGAAGCCATTTTGTCAGGAAAGGTCAGTGACACAGGACTGCCATATTTCAAGTGGCTGGAGTGAAAGAATTAATCCTCTTTTCAGTTAAATGCATTAGCCCTTTTAATTAAATAGAATTACATTAAATTAATTAAATTAAGTTAAATGCATAAACCCTTTGAAATCTTAGCTCAGTCATTATCCAAGTCATATGATCATTACTTCACCAGGTTATGTCTCATTATCTTTTCATAAGGTAAACATTATTGTATGGAAAGTCTGTCTGGAAAACAGTTATTACTGTACAACTATTGAACCATAAGCCCACACCTCAAAACTCACAAACCTGTCTCATATTTAACACCTTCAGAAGAGCTTTTGCAACTGGTATCTCCTCAATAAGCCAAATGCAATTTTCATATTAGCTTCTGCTGATATGCATGAGCTCCAGCCCTTTACAGTCTTATTGACCAGTTACTCATACCCTCATCAGCAAAAAAAAAAAAAAAAGAATCTATTTGCATAGAATTAAGAAAGTCTCCTATTTTCAATAGTTCGTTAGAAGTCCTGCAAACTAGGAAGATGAAACCAACTTCTTTAGAAAGCAGAGAACCATGCAAGCAATTATAGAAATAGTTCTTCTGTTCCCCGTTTTTACAAGCATCCATTTCCCTGCTACTCCTCATGTATGACAATATCATAATATAGAAAGCAGCGTCTTGTTCACAATCAGCTAGTTTCAAGCACACAAGCAAATAACCATATAGATCTCAAACAGCTGGCAAATTAAATATAAAAATGTATGTTCTTATAGAAACTTATTATTTTGTATAATATTACTAGCTTTAAGCGCTACCGTATATGCAAAAAGGCAGGAAACAAATGTTAAGACTAGGTAGCAAATCACACCCTCCTCCAATACTGATGGGAATCATTTATTTGCCAGATAAACCCTTACTATGTCCCCAAATTTCCACCTTGAAAAACAACATCTGAAAATCCATGGTTGCAGTTGGCTGAATAAAGGATTATTAAGCTCATCTAGCCCATCTTGTCAGCATCAGGTATGTCAAGATGAAATCAGGGTAATCTAAATTTGTAAGTCAAAGAAGCCTACAGGTTAGTTACGGCCCAACTGTGGCAGAAAGCAATAATGCACATATGTTTTATTGGACAGCTGACTGACTCTTCCATCTCCAACATAAAGCACCCATCTCTATTTTAAAAGCAATAAAAAGAATATAAAGCAATCATCTCTTGACAGAGGATGCCTCTGCTATTAAATTGGTAAGAGACAGTATCAGTCACTGAGAGAAAATTAGTTGCTCACATAAGAAAATTGGAGAAAATTTACTATTTTTTCCTGACACTTCGGCAATAGACATAGCTGTGCTGATAAATCCTGTTTCAAGGATTCTCTCTCTTTTCTATAATTGAGGATCTAGGACCTCTCTATGCAGACACCACTGCATAATATATAGGGTGAACTTTGGTTATTGAAATATGGGGAGCCATTTTTGTCTTTTTAGACTTTAATTTCTATCATGTGGAGATAAAATGATATAACATAGCTGGTCACCTATGGCCATTTGACACTGAAGACTCAAATACACTATGGAATCCTAGGGATGGTATGACCTTATTGATACTACATGATGTAAGATACAAATCAGCATTACACTTATCAGAACTTACCATTTTGTCCAGAAAGATCACCAAATCCTGAGGTAAATAAGCAAAAAAAGTCAGACATTAACATCAAGTTCTTCTTGAGAAAAATCCTCTTATTTTGTCTTCCACTGCTTAGTCCATCCTAGGTCAGCCCAGCCCAGATTGAGAGCAGCAGGAACACAACATCATGCATATTCTTAATGCCATTTGCACTCTATCATAGTTGAATTTTAACAGATCGTAATAGTGCACTTTGGGCATGCAGCCAGTTCAATTTACCTGGGGTAGACACTGTATCTTCTTCACTTAAAACTTAAAACACCATCCATATATGAAATGAAATCTTCCTATGGCTCCCACTGGTCACCTTCTGAATCATACTCCACTAGTTTTGACAGAAGTGTGGATCCTTTCCAAGTTGAAATTCAGCTTTTCTAACTTAGGCTATTTCCTAAAGTCCAGATGGCTTCAGGGTAGGTGGCGACACTCTTTCAGTAGAAACCTGCATCTTTTACTAGCTCTTTTTCTTCAGTGCAATTGCTCCCTGCCCTGTCTTTGTCTACATGGAAAAAAGACTATCTCTAAGGATGGGCTTCTCTCAGTGATGGAATGAAACTTCCTTCTGGGCTGTAGTATGCCAGATACTGTATAAAAAAGCAATATGGGCCTATCTAGTTCATGAACTTTAGATTCCTTATTACTGATTTAACAGAAAGCAGACAGATAATTTATATGTATGAGCATAGCATCTTCTGCCTTGCTTATCAAAGGCTTAATTGTCCTTGCAACCAAAAGTATAATACAGGAATCTCACTGTTAGAATGCTGCCCATGAATGTGGTGTTCTAAAACCATAATTACAATTCTGCAAATTCTCACACAAATCACCAGTTATTTAAAATGTTCAAGGACATTGATGTTTTAGAGCTGGATGAACTAACAATTCTCAAGTGTGGATTGTTAGCAGAATTGAAAAAGTGAGGAAATCACTCTCATTCAGCTTTAAACAGCTTTGGTAATATGGAGGAAGAAAAGCTGGCTAAGTTACAATTCCTGTAGTATAACTCACTAAAAATCCATGTGATGTGATTTATCTACCTAGGAAAAAGCAGTAACTCTTTATTTTATAACCCTCAATTCCTAAAAAATAAATGGGCTATGATGTATACATAAACTAGATATGCATCCTGAAAGTTCTGTCGACTTTTTTCATTCCCATACTTCCTGTTATTGCTGGAAATCCCATATCCGGCTAGAATTTGTTCTGGATTACCAAAGCCTCAGTTTATCTGCTTCTGTCTCTAGAACTTATTGAAAATGCACCAGATTTTTTTTACTATAATAACAATCACGGTACTGCTGCCATTAAATAACTATAACAATAGCAATAGCAGCATATTAGCATCTTCTTGCCGAGCCAATGTAGCCTTATACGAAGTATGGCTGAGTCAGATTAGCATATGAATGCTATTCTTTCCTATCTCTTGTGCATAGATAGTTTTCAACCCACAACCATCCATTTAGCAACCATTCAAAGTCATGATGATGCTGAATGGTGATTACAGTTGGTCCTCGGAGTTCTGCTGTCCCAGCATCCCCATGCTTTAGGACGTGCATTGCTTAGTGATGGAAAATCTGGTTGCAATTGCTATCGTTAAGTCGAGGACTATCTATAGAGAAATCTTGCATGTAAAAAACTAAGCTATGAGTTATATACATGGAAGTTATACACTTGAAGTGTATCACATCAGTCATATTCTTATGGCTTTGTTCACTATTGAATACTCAGTTGCCTGAATATAGTTCTCGCTTACTGATGGCAACTGGGACCAGCATCTCCATTGTTAAGCAACATAGTTGTAAGGTGTGACATTATTTGTCTGCGATTTCAGCAGTCTCAGCTGCTATCAATAGATGAATCTCACATGGTCGCAGTTTACTGAAATCACATGATCACCTTTATAACCTCCTGTTAGCTTCCTCATTAATTTTGTATATCAGAACACAGCAGAGGTCACAAATGACATCATGTGACTGTGGAGATGCTGATATACTATAATACGAGGATAAATCATAACCCTCCCTTATTCAGTGCCATTGTAACTTCTGATGGTTGTTGAACAACCATTTGTGGGGACCACCTGTATTGAGGTTGAGCTTCTTTGGTTTAAATACTTCTTTTAACTATTTTAATGTTAATATACAATAAATGCTATTGAGTGTATCTCAATCACGACCAGTGAAGGATATATTATTGACGATCATGACCTACCTTACAAATTTCTTCCTGAGAATATGCTTCTATATCTGCAACAAAAACAGATATTATTAAAACCACTGTATATGCCCATAAATTGATTTTAAAATGCAAGACTTGCCATGGGCATCTTCATGTGTGTAATGCCCCTCTGAAACTTTCAACTTAATACCCTAGGTGGACTTGTTTTCGTAGACTCCACAAGGCTGAATGGTAGAGTAGAAGATTGTTGAATTAAGACTGGGGAAAACCAATTTCAAATATTCACTATACCATAGAGTAGAGAAACAAAAAGAAAATGTCCTATTCAGGCTATGAGTGACATCCAAGGAGCATTTCAATTTCTTAGTTGTGTTGGCAGAAGGCAATGATCCATCCACCAGTCAGCAAGCCTAGACTTTTCTTGGAACACATCACTGCTGGAATTGCCATTACTTTGATCTACCCCTCTCTCCTATCCATCCAAAACTCTACATGCATGAGCACTCATGTCCCATGACAACTTAGAAAGGAAAAAAGGAAATTACAGACTCTGGCAAAATAGAAATATCAACCTTACTATTGAAGTGAGAAGTTTCAGCCAGCTGGAAAGTTTCCACCAAAACTTAGAATAAAATTAAACTGAATTTTTCAACAACAGAGCAAACATATTGACCATTTAAATTCCACCTTATCTCTGGGCTATTGAACAGAACCCTGGTTTGGAATCTTGCACCCTGAAGCTCTTGAGACCACAATATTATTGCTAGAATTTAATTCCTTTTGGGGTCATGGACCTTGCATAATGATGACACAACAGCTTCCTTCAGGATATGACATGCACTCAGAAGAAACTCTGAACATAACCAATTAAGGAAGAAAAGGGCTGTGGGTGGGGAGAAATGAAGAAGCAAGCTGTTTTTGTACTTCTAACAAGCTTCAAAGGATTTATGTCTGCCCTCTACATCCCTAGTAGCCACCAGAACCCATAAGTATTCCCTCCTGTCACCTGCTCAGGGCAATTTAATGTCTTTTTTCCACTCAGGGCTGTGTCAACCTTCCATTTTAATCTCTTACAATATCCTTTACATGTCATCACTCTGGTAGTGTGGGAAATGAAATGACAACAACCAGATTGGAGCACTCTTGTTTCTTGCCACTGCTGCTAAGATTGTCCATGAGCAGAAGTCAGGGGCACTGTGCCTTGAAAATCCTGGAGCAATTTTACAGCCAAAAGCAAGAAGGACTCTTACAATTTGAAATGTGAAATATAAATACAACCTGATCCTAGAATTTTCTGCAAACAATATAAAAAGAAAAATTTGCTACATTTCAATTGTTTTGACTGCTACTGGAACTTGTTTACTGACACATAACTGCGTGCCCACACATAGTCAGAGAAAATAATGCTTGGCATTTCGATAATGAGAGGATTACGAATCTAAATATGATGAGAAAATGTCATGCTTACTTATAAGTTCTTCCTAATTGTGTTGGCCAACCAAGTGACACACACATATATAAAGTGCAGGTAAATCAATAAAATGTTTTAAAAATCATGTTCAAATGCAGTGTTGATTTGGGGGTTTTGTTGTTCGATATACCAGAAATGGCAAAATGGAGCAATGAACTTTTATACTTAGCATCATGCCAAGCATTCAAATAGTTGCTTCGTTCTACTTCATGCCATCTATGCTCTACATAGTGCTGCCCTTGTAGGCTATTCAAAGCTTCAGTTAGTTCAAAATGCATTGGCCCAAGTGGGAATAGGCTCAGTTTGCCTCTATGAGAGTTCTACTGTGGGTGTATTGACTGTTAGCTGGCTTCTGAATGCAATTCAAGATGCTGGTTGTTATCTTAAAAGCCTTGTTTGACTTAGGCTCTGGCCAGTCAAGGCTATTATTTTGGGGAAAGATTCCAGTCTTATAGTTCTTGACTTACAACAGTAGTGACCATTCAAAGTTATGACGACACTGGAAAAAGTGACTTATGACTGTTTTTCATACTTGTGACAGTTGCTGCATCCCTATGGTCACGTGATCAACATTCATACACTTGGCAACTGATTCATATTTATGACCGCTGCAGTGTCCTGAGGTCATGTGATCACCTTTTGTGACCTTCTGACGAAGTCAATGGGGATTCACTTAACTGTGTTACTAAGCTAACATCTGCAGTGATTTACTTAACTATGACAAGAAAATAGGGCACAACTCAATAACTGTCTTACTTAGCAACAGAAATTTTGGGGTCAATTGTGGTCATAAGTAGAGGACTACCAGTAAGCACTACTCTACATGTATGCCTGTACATTGAAGAAAACGTTACCGGAAATGGCATACATATGCAAAGTTAAACTCCGATATCTCTATATCTACTGTTTATTCATTTTCCTTAAATAATTCAAGATGGTTGAGATAGATTGGGCTGAGACAGAATTTCTGCCCAAAGTCACCCAGTGAGTTTCCAAGCCTGAGGGTAGAGACTTTTCTTCCTTTTCTTTCCTTTATCAAATTTATATAGCTGCCCATCTCGCAACAAGTGACTCTGGGTTGCGTACAACAAAGCTTTTATAGCTAACATTCCCAGTCTTAGTCCAAAACATCAACCACTACACCAAACTGGATTTACAGTGGTAGAGCTGGGAAAGGCCTATCTTGGCTTGTGACCTTTGAGAGTTGCTACCAATTGCAGCAATATTTACTGCATGAAGCCAATTAATATGTAAGCTTTAAAAAATGCAAACAGAATTGCAGGGTTCAAATTACAGCAAAGGTACAAGGGTTAGTTAGGAAATATTTAAGCTCTTTGCTCATCTCTTGGATTCTGATAGAACAGTTGATCTCAGGGTCTTCAGAGCAGGGTTTAAATAGATTAAGGCAGTGGTTCTCAACCTTTTTAATGCTGCGACCCCAAACGGTCGTAAGTCGAGGACTAAACCAGTCGTAAGTCAAGGACTAAACCGGTCGTAAGTCAAGGACTACCCAACTGGTCGTAAGTCAAGGACTTTCCCTGCCCGGGAGTGCCGCGCATGCGTGGTTCCGCCCCCTGCGCCGGCCGAGGCGTAGCTGGCAAGCGGCAGAGACGGAGCAGGCCAACCACCAGCTGGCCCAGCCCAAGGGAGGTAAGGCACCTGCCGGAAAAGGGGGGAAAAATGGCGGACAAAAAAAATGGCGGACAGCCTTTCTTGGCGACCCCCGTGAAATGGTCGATCGACCCCAAATGGGGTCCCGACCCACAGGTTGAGAACCACTGGATTAAGGGGTCAATGTCGCTGTAATGCACTTTCATTCATTTTAAATTATCACTGTGACTTCTTTCCTTGGCAAGATGTTTCTTGTATTGCAAAGACCCATCTGGAAGTCATGATTGAAGAACAAGTGGCTTAAATACCACATTTAAAAAGTGGACCAGTACAGTGAATCTGTTTTAAAACGTGCGCACACACACAGGAAACATACCTGGTGGACCCACAGAATCTCCATAGCCTTTCATTTGCAAGGCAATGACACGGAAGCCAGCATCAGCAAGGGCAGGAATCTAACATGGAGAAAAAGACAAAAGCAACCTTGTTGGTGCACAGGTAGTGTGGGCCTGTCTTCCTATAACCCAAAACTTCCATGTAAACATTGCAGCTGCCATATATTATACATGAGAAATGAATATACCAGTGTTTCTCAACCTTGGCAACTTGAAGAGGTATGGACTTCAACTCCCAGAATTCCCCAGCCAGCACAGCTGGCTGGGGAATTCTGGGAGTTGAAGTCCATACCTCTTCAAGTTGCCAAGGTTGAGAAACACTGGAATATACCTTTTCTTTCAAGTAAGTTGAACTTATTCTGAAAGAGGGCATTCAAGCAGATTAGGAATAAAAATGCTTAAAAATGGTGTCACCTGGAACCTCCAAGAAAACCAGGACTCTGGAAATCCATGGCAGAGGCAAATCACTGGACCACTCCCCATCTCCACAAAGTGCAACTCTGTGTCGGGCTAAAGGCAGGAAGGAAGGAAAGTTTGAGTCATAATTATCAAAGGCAGAAGAAACTGAATCTCTAAACTTCCGAGTAAATTGCTAAAAGGTAGGGCAGGTGTAATAACAAAAACAAGAAAGAAAATGGCTAAATGGCACTATTTATATGTAAAGGGAAAGATGGGTTGAAAAGGCATTTGCTGAGCTGCAATGAAGAACTTGAGAGAGACAGAAAAGAAGACCAGATCTGCTTTCAATTAATCAATCAGAATAGACCTGGAAGGGACCTTGGAGGTCTTCTAGTCCAGCCCCCTGCTCATGCAGGAATCCCTATATCATTTCAGACAAATGGCTGTCCAGTCTCTTCTTAAAAACCTCAAGTGATGAAGCCCCTACAACAGGGGTGTCAAACTGCTAGCCCGCGGGCCGGATGCATCATGCTGAAACCGTGCCTACCCCAGCTCCAGCAAGGAGGAAAAAGTCATGATACGTCACAACACGTCACGCGACATAGTGAGTTTGACACCCCTGCCCTACAACTTCTGAAGGCCAGCTATTCCACTGGTTAATTGTCCTCACTGTTAGGAAGTTTCTCCTTAATTCCAGGTTGCTTCTCTCCTTGATTAGTTTCCATCCATTGTTTCTTGCCTTGCAGTTGAATGCAGTCACAAGGTAATGGCATCGGACCTGGTTATCTCCGAGACCGCCTTCTGCCACAGATTACCTCTCATCGGCTGATACGCTCCCACAGAGAGGGTCTCCTCAGGGTGCCGTCAGCCAGACAGTGCCGGCTGGCGACCCCCAGGGGGAGGGCCTTCTCTGTTGGAGCCCCCACCCTTTGGAACGAACTACCCCCAGAGATCCGGGTGATTCCGGATCTCCCCTCCTTCCGCCGCGCCCTCAAGACATGGCTATTTAAGCTAGCAGGACTGGCCTAAGGGGTATTTTAATTTGGTTTTAAAATAATTTTAAAAAGAAACGGCCAATAATTAATATTTCATTTTAATTACATTTTAAATTTAGTATTTTGTATTGTTATCTGTTTTAACTGGCTGTAAGCCGCCCTGAGTCCGCCAGGAGAAGGGCGGGGTACAAATTTGATAAATAAATAAATAAATAAAATAAATAAATAAATAAACTGAGGCCATGTCTTGCTAGTTATTTGGGATGAGTTTAAGCCTGCTGCTTGCACTATATGAAATGACTAAACACACATTACATGATCTTTCATTTTTGCATGATCCAATCACAATAAACAGAATTGTTTCCCCCACTGAAAGCAATTAAAATGTCAATTTTAAATACAGTCTTTTTACCATTACCTTGATTTTTACAAATCCGTGGGCTACATCCTGGGGCTCGCATGCTGAAGGAAAATATTCTTCCTGGTCAAGAAGCTGTGGAATAGTTAATTAAATGAGTGAGATTTCAAGCACCACATGAGTCTGCTCAGGATGGGGATCTATTATGATTAGTGACCAATCTCTATGATGTTTAGTAACAAGATTTTTTTTCCCCATTGCTACAGTCTTTCCCTTTAAAAAAATCAAGGGAGATGTCAGGAATTGAAACTAAAGCTTTCAACATACAGAGAGCATGCTCACTACTGAAGGAAGAGCTAGTACAGTGGTGGTGAACCTATGGCACGGATGCCAGAGGCGGCACTCAGAGCCCTCTCTGTGGGCACGCGCACTGTCGCCCAGTCCTAGGCCTTCAGCTGGGTTTTATAAAACCTTTTCGCTTTAGGCCTCCGCCGCCGTGTGCAAAAAAAAAAAGGTTCAATCAATCAGTCAATTTCAACTTCTCGCAGGGAAAAAAAAGATCTTGCAAAGTTGGAATTGATTGATTGAACTTTTTAGTCCCACCCAGTCTGCCGTTACCACCGCAGCCATGCCCACCCAATGGGCCACACGCAGCCAATTGGCCACACCCAGCCAATGGGCCACACCCACCCAGCACCCGACGATGCATAAGTCGGTTTTGCGTTGCAGTTTGGGCACTCGGACTCTAAAAGGTTCGCCATCACTGAGCTAGTATCTTTTTATTTTAAACATTCATAATCTTTCTCTATCATTACAATGCCTTTTGATGCCACTAATTAAAAAAGCAATAGTTAGAGACCTAATGCATAAAATCTGGCAATAATTTCAGCAGACACACAATAGCTGAATTGAAAGAGGACAAAATGCAACATTTTTCATTTCATAACATCAAGAGAAGGACCCAGAAAAAAACAGTGGATCATCTTTTCTGTACTGCTCCCATAAAAACTAAATAAACACTTCAACTTGAAGGAGATTTTACTTACTTACTAGTAACGGTTAGCTGAATTAAGTCAATTGCACAAACATAAACTAATCATACTGGCTAGGTTCACACAACATACTTGAATGCACTGAGCAAATCTATCTATTCCAGCAATAAATCAAAATTGAAAATGGATGGATGGATGATGAATGATGAATGGCCAGTACTGGAGGAAAATGTCACAAAAACGCCAAATATTCAGACTAACAGTTCTTGTAATAAATATAGATAATAGAGGAGCTTTAATTGATGCAAGTATGCAAGAACCTTCTGCTAAAATAGTTATTTTTTGAATATCTACAGCAGGGGTGTCAAACTCGCAATGTCACGTGACATGTCGTGATGTATCATGACTTTTTTTCCATTGCCGGCAATGGGGTGGGCGTGGTTTCAGCATGACGCATCTGGCTGTGGGCCGACAGTTTGACACCCCTGATCTATAGTATAACAAAAAGGACTGAAAACCCAATTAAAAGAGTAAAAAGGAAGCTCAAATTCATTCTGCTCAATTCCTCATAAAAATTCCATTCCTGGAAGATAATGAAATCCAGCTAAAATGATTTAAAAGCCCATATTTAAATTGCCTGCTTTTAAAAACAATCGTGCTAAGGGAAAAATGCCCTTCTAAATTTTTGTAGCACAAATCCCAGCAATTTGCTTAGTGCAAAGGTAGAAAGAAACCTGGATCCACAGAGAAATGCAAATCTTTGCATTTTGTTTTTTAAAGGGGAAGAAGCAGATCCACTTTCAAAGAATCAGCTGGTACGTGAGTTGGATGAAGTATTTTAGGGTAGACACAATGAAAGCACTACAGAAAAAATGTGTCCATTCCAGCACAAAGTAACCAGATCCTGCTGGGCCTGAAATGGCCAACCACTGAGTTAGGTTTACAAGATTAATATTATATACCCAGGCATATGAAAATCAGCAGTCCTGGGCCGCCATCTCTTGCCTGGTTAATCTCTTCCTTGGTTCAGCTATTGTTATCATGTTCATCTTGCAGATTAGTCAAAACAGTAACTGTACAGTAGTAGCAAAAGAGGCATGCAAGCTTATGAGCTACACAGAATCAGCTATCAGTCAGGAGAAATTATAGTAGGTTCCATAGTTCTTAGCCACACATATAGTTATCCCATGAGAATGGACCCCAAAAGAGATGGAAGTAGAAAGGCAACAGCTATTCCAGAAATTGCCCAGTTGGATTCTTTCCTTCTCTTCCACCTGCCTGCCCACAACCCTAGATATTGCCTGTAAACAGTTCTAAGGAAAGGATCCTAGAACTTTTATTTCTCAGGAATGGTTGTTATATTGTATTTACAGTTGTTTATATTGCTTGCAAGCCATTTTGGGAACACTGTGATCCTGAAAGGAGGAATATGGTCAGTTCTTTGACAGCTGCCTCAGTCCAGAAGTCATTCTTCCTAAGCAAGATTTTCAGAGCCTTCTTTACAAATGTTGCTAATTTTCACTCCAACTGTTATGTATAATAGTAAGGGATGCCTGTAATTGCAGTTTGATAGCCTCATAGTACCAAGCCAGCCCTTTAACTATATGATGGCATCACTTTAAAGATATCTATACCAGCCTCGCTAGCTACTTCCAATTCATAGAATTGTTTTTGATTATTAATGCCCTAAATATTTTGGATCCAAATTATCTAGAGGACTTCCCACTCCTTTACAATATAAATCTGGGTACAGTTTTAAGACAACTCTAATCACTCTAATTATTGACTTCATTTTTCAAGTCAATAAAATGCACCAAAACGCTTTGTAGTTGTTCCATAATTCCTAATCTGTGGAATTCATGCCTGAAAAAAAATATAGTGGGCCTTCCTATCTTTGCTTTGAAGAAAGCTTTAAAAGTTTGTTCTCTTGACTTGCTTATTTGTAACAACCCTGTAGCAAAGATTGAAAAACAGATCCATATGAGATCAAAGAAACTGCTCAACCAAAGCCAAGATAAGAACCACTTACCTGAACCCCAGTCAGATCTTGAAGCTGCTTCAAAGCAGAATCAGCATCTTTCACCAGGATTGTTGTCATCCCCATCTTCTGAGCAGGCTTTAAGTTTGCACCAATGTCATCCAGAAAAATAACCTAAAGTGAAGAAAGAATCAGGTGAAGGGCCCATATTCTACAAAAAAAAAAGTCTTTATTCAGGCAATCCAGAGAAGTGGAACTTTGCAATATGTACTAAGTATGCAAAATGAATTTACAGAACAGGAAAGAATAAGATATAAAATATTGCACTGAAGCCTGCCCTCCCTCAAAATAAAGGATCTTGTTCATTAATCCCCCTATGTTTAAAAAGATCAATAGCCACTGCTGCATAAATTTTTAAACATATCCTCAACCATTAGAACTAGAATGTGAAGGTAACAGGGAAGAAGATTTAGAAAGAAAAACTAGACAATACAGTATTTCGGAGTTTTTTCTTTGCAGAGTTTTAAGCTTTTTGGGGAAGGGGGGAAGAGGGGGAAATTAAGATCTGTGGCATGGAGGACTAGGTTAATTCCATCTTTATCACACTTATTTGAGGCACATAGTGTACACATTACTGGTTGCCCTTATTAAAATGTTTAATACAGCAAATCACAGTGTTGCCTCTATTAGAGAAAAGATGGGAAACTGCCTATCTTCTAAGTGGAATTCTAGTCAAATCTCCCTCCCTCACAATTACTTTTCAAAGAAATTAAAAAGAAAAATACAATCTGCTAATAGATCTCCAAGGTTTTATTAATACTCAAAGTACAATTGTGTTTAATAGGCTTCAAAGTGTTCCTCTGAGGCAGGGGTGTCAAATTGCTGGCCCATGAGCCGGATGCGTCACATGGAAGCCGTGCCCACCCCAGCTCCGGCAAGGGGGAAAAAAAATCGCAACATGTCACAACACATCACACCCCTGCTCTGAGGTTTCATAGATTTCACCTCTGAAATCTAAACTGGCAAGAGAGAACCGAATCCCAATAAAAATATATCCAGACCATGACAAAGCACCTTAGAACATTATCATCTCTACTACAAACTAGAAGCTGATGTAGTGAATGATGCAGACAGACAAAGCTGGAAATCTGTTAGAGAAAAGGATGAGAAGTCACTAACCTCCTCAGGCGTTGCCTTCAGTTCATGTAATGTATACTCATAAATCTTGGGATCTGGTTTCTGCAGGCCAATCCGACATGACTCTATCACCTTGTCAAAATATTTCCTCAGCAGACATAAGGCAAACCCTGTGTGATGCCTGCTAGGAGTATCATCAATCCAGTTATTTGTCAGGACAGCAATTCTGAAACCTGAGAAGGGGTAAGAAATTGAATAGATGAGGAGGAATGAAAATTGTTGGGGGCAATATGCTGACTCTGTAAACCACTTAGAGAGTGCTTTAAAGCACTGGGCTGGAGAGCTGGGAGGAGAGCCCCACATTTTGTAACAATTGGTGAATGTGATTAATGACAGCACATTGGGAAATGCAATTGTAACTTTATAACCAGGGGGAGGGGATTTTTAGTCTTGGGTTCACCTTTGTACATGCCGATATCTTGTTTTCTAAATAAAATGTTCTTTAAGGAAGAAATCCTTGCCTTGAAGTTCTTTTAAATGGTTTCATCTATTGGAACCATGACAGTCATATTAAGAAAAGTCTAGAAGTTTAGAGCCCATTCTGAGCTAACCTGCTTATTACTCTTTCTTGCTGAATAAAAAAAAAGGGGAGGAGACAGCTGATACCTGTGAAAATATCACTTTTGGTTCCCATCCCAGAGTCATGAGCCACCCAATCAAGGTCAGGTCTTGCAATTTCATGATCACAGCAGGGCCATGAAATCATGGCACCAGGTTTTGATAAAAACCATGGGGTTGTTATAGTTTGTTGGAAGCTTCTGCTTAGAACAGTGTTTCTCAACCTTGACAATTTTAAGGCATGTGGACTTCAACTCCCAGAATTCCACAGCCAGCATTGCTGGCTTTGGAATTCTGGGAGTTGAAGTCCACATGCCTTAAAATTGTCAAGGTTGAGAAACACTGGCTTAGAACCTAGCATTAGGTATTGGCTGCCCTTGAGGTATCTCTACTGTAGTTATTAAGGCGTTCCTAACACCTTGTAAGAGAGTTGGCTATCATCTGGCTTGGTATGTATGCTTTTTATTTTATGTTTTTAAATTTGTATGCTTGAGCTAATAATAAAGCTTAAAATTTATTTATTTACTGGCATTTGATCACTACCCTGACACTTGGCAGAAAAATATCATATACATTTGAGAGCCAATTTGGTGTGATGGTTAAGGTGCTGGCCTAGAAAACAGGAGACTGTGAACAACAACAACAACAACAACAATAAATGATAATATTCATATGCATGAATAAGCAAACCTTGAATTTTTAACCAAAATAACCCTCAAAATGTTTGTACATTTTAATTTTCACAATTGGCTTATAGGCAGGTGGCACATTTTTCACAGTATTTTGGCCAAAGGTTTGAAGGTCAGATTATCTGTGAGAATATATGGATTTTTTTTTTAAAATTACCATATATACTCTCAAATAAACCCATCGATGGATAAGTGAAAACCAATCTTTGTAGTAGTATTTTACAACCTAAAATTCTTTGGCTTATCCTTGAGTATCTACAGGAATGATTCTTAAAGCTAAAATAACTATAAAAAGCACAGAGGACATGCACCTTCTTGGAAAAGGCAATTTACTCTTTCCCCTTCATTCTCATGCAGAGAATGAAGGCAGGGCTTTTCAACCTTTTCACCCATTGTACCACTTTTAGGATATGGCAAAATCCGAGTACCACCAGCCGCCTGGCAAGGTGTCAAAAACGTGATGACCAAAAAAAGGAAAAAAGTGATGAAGTACAGGTAGTCCTCAACTTACAACAGTTCATGTAATGACTGTTCGAAGTTACAATGGCACTGAAAAAAGTGCCCCCCAAGCCACAGCCGAGCAAGACACCTGCCTGCCCACCCGGCGGCGCTCTTCCTCCTGTCTGAGGTTTTCATTGTTGTGAGCATTTCTGTAGAAGATTGGCAGCGGGGGTGGGGTGGAGGGGGTTTGGTTTTTATTCCCCCCGTCTGCTGGGTGGTTGCAGCAGGCTTTGGTCACTTCACATGACCCTGGGACACTGTGACCGTCATAAATATGAATCAGTTGCCAAGCATCTGAATGTAAATCACAAGACCCTGGAGATGCTGCAACATTCCAGCTGATCGGCACTTCTTCTGGGCTCAGCAGAAATGCCAGGATCAGCACTGAGCTCCAGCTGGAGCCTGGCGCTGATTCTGGTGCTTCCACTGAGTCCTGACAGCCCCAATGAAGCGTTGATCCTGGCGCTTCCGCTGAGCCCTGACAGCCCTGCAGCTCCAGCCATCTCTTGCTCAGGCTTGTGCGGTGCTGCCACCGGTTCAGCTCATTCCCTGCTACCACTTTTCTAGGATGGTCGCGTACCACCTGCCAGGTGCCAATGTACCACAGGTGGTACCCGCCTTGTTCTAAGGGAGTGGTCACCTTCTCAAAAAAATAGAGTATTTTGTTTAAAAATTACTGAATTGATTTGACAATAAATAAAGTGAAATAAATAGAGCAGGCATTATGCCACTGCCCTGTACAACCGAAGTTTTACCATTTTTCTTGAGAAGCATAGCAGCCTTCAGGAAGGGTACACTAAAGCCACTTTTCGCCATCATTTCGACAAAGTTCTCGCCCAATGAGAAGTTTTCAGGGAGGGGGATATTAGAAATAGAAGAAACTTTCTTGCAATCATCTTCAAACTCAGCAATAAGCTAAAACAGAGATTAAAATACAACTATTTTTATTTTAACACAAACAGAGTGGGACAGAATAAAGTGATAAGGATATCCATTGTAAGCATATTAAACAAGGAAGATGACTTGGTTAGGAATAGAAGTGGAGATACTTCATAAGCTATAAAGGAGCCTCTGGTTTGGGCTTCCTGAAAAATCCCCATATGATGGTTCCTAAATATTATATTTCTAAGAAATGAAACTGGTGAGAGAAAAAGTAGCTGTTCTCACAATAGAGAGAGCACTGTGCCAGCATAGATCAGATGCCTCCCAAGGCCATCAAGAGAATGGTCAATAATCCACTTGAAACATGGGGAAAGGGGGAAAAGTCTAGAATTTAAATCCCGTATCATCAACCATGTAAGAGATTTGGTTTACATGTGCTTCAGTGGTTAGAATTTCTATGTGTACATAATTTTGCTGGGTAATATTTTTGTGAGCTTTTTGCCAAGCCAATATCTGAATATTTTGTTTTATTTTATTTATTTTTCAATTTAAACACTGTCTCATTCCACACTGACTGCAGTGAACAAAATAAAGCATCCAAGATGGGAATCTGCCCAAATAACAGAGAAAAATATATACAAAACATAACTATCAAGAGCCGCCATACACGCTAGCCCAAAACTTGGGAGAACAGTCAGATATTTAAAGGCTTCTGGAATGACATAAAGGTGAGAACTACATGGATCTCAGAGGGAACCTCATTTCAGAGGGCAGGCACTGCAAAAGAGAAGGCATACTTCCTGGGTTCAGATAGATTGTGTTGTTCAAAGAGACAAGGAGCATGGTAACCCTGTAGGTTTCTACTGACTGGGCAAAATTACAGCAGATAAGTGGTCCCTCAGATAACCAAGCCTCATGCCACATAGGGCTATGTAGGTGATAAGTAGCATCTTGAATCATACCTGGAGGCACAGTGGCAGTAAGCACAGCTCATGAAATAGAGGAATCTCACAGACAAACCCTTAAGTGTTTGGAGACCTGACATTTATAGATATGTCTCCATGAAGCATGACAATATGGATGTTAGCATTGTATTGATGTGGCACTGTCTATTCTGAAATATATCATTCTCCCACCCCACTTTAAGTCCAGTCTCAGCAAAAGATCATTCATCCAGAGTTCATTTAATCTGGCTGTACTAGGAACTGAACCTGGAATGTCCTGTGGGGCCAGGAGATCCCAAGTTAAAACATATCCTAATTTCTTCCTACTCCCATCCTTTTTATTTTTTATCATTTTTAATAAGATTTCTATTGATTAGTTTATTGTTCCAGGATCCTTTTTAGTTGAAAAGTGTGATATAAATACACATTAATTAAAGCAGTCTCAGACTGTAGTGAAAAGTGGCTCCATAGTGCTTTAAAGCACTCTTTAAGTGGTTTACAAATGTCAACATATTGTCCCCAACAATCTGGATTCTCATTTTATCAACCTCAAAAGGATGGAAGGCTGAGTCAACCCTGAACCAGTCAGGATGAACTCCTGGCTGTGGGCAGAGTTTACCTGCAATATTGCATTCTAACCACTGCGCTACCACGGCTTCATTATTTGACTAGGTAGCAGCATTAGTGCTACATCTGCTAGAAAAACAACCAAACTCAGAGAGCACTAAGGACATCACAGTTCAACCCTGAACTACAAATATTTTTTTCTATTGGTAAAACACACATTGGAAGTAAATGGTGAAATATTTATATTCAGTAAGGGTTTCTGATGTCTTGAGTGTTTTTCAACAGCAAACTTGGATTGTTAATCTATTTCAGTGTTCCTCACTTATAAGTATAAATTCTAATTGATGGCTTATGATCAATTCTATAGATAATGAGTTTTTAAACTGTGTATTAATGTCTGATCTATAGAAACCCACAAACCTTTTCTGATCCATAAGGCTATCTAGAATGCTCAGGTTCAGGCATTCACACAAAACAGTCATCTTGGAGGGATTATCTGGTAAGTAGGGGCCATCCAAGCCATTGGCCTCATAGGAGAACAAAGGAAAGACTGACTAGTGGATACCAAGAAAGGCTTTGCTAAGCTCAGTGATATTTATACGCATCATCTTCATGACTCACACAATGTTGATGACAATTGCTTCACTCCTACACTGTACTTTTGCCCTGCTCTAGGGAAATCTCAGAATTCAGCCTGAAAAGGGGCGTTGTCTTACCTGAACGCCTTTTCTCAGCAAAGAGGAATGTAGACTCCACGTGTGGGTGTAAATTGTCCTCTAGCCCAATCAGACCAAACAATCAAAGTCGCCACGCCCCTTCAGGGTCTGAGCATGCCCCAGTTTCGAAAAGGGCGAAGCCAGTGATTGTTCTGAACGACGTGATGGCTCCTGAAAAATTGACACTGACCTGACTGCTAACTGAATAGGGAGGGAGTGGAGTCTACATTCCTCTTTGCTGAGAAAAGGCGTTCAGGTAAGACAACGCCCCTTCTCCAGCAAATGGAGGAATGTAGACTCCACGTGTGGGACATACCAAAGCCCTTAAGGTCCCATGGGAGGGATGCAGGCCGGT